TGCTTAGCGCAAAACCGCGGAATTGGCGTCGGGCTTGCAGAGTTGACAACTGGGGCTGAAAAGGGAGACATTCTCCAGCTTCATATTTCTCTTTGCTGGATGATATCCTGAGTTGCTGGTGATATCGGTGATATATTCCATCCATATTATTCCATACTTCTTACCATTCAACTCTTCCGCAACGGTATGGCTTAAGTCAAGACGATGGGATGGCCACCAAGACGGATGCTTCTCTCACTTGATATCCATTGAGTTTTGATTGAGTTTGAATGATATGCAATGAGCTTCATTAATCTTCAATGATCTTAACAATTCTTAACTACTGTTCATTGATTTCGATTGATTTCGATTGATTTTCATCGACTTATTGGAGTGCTTTCCATCATTGGTGTATCTCCACATTGCCAGCACCAGTCATGAACTTGCGGAGGAATCAAGCTCTGGTGAACTACTCCAAGTACATTCTCGGAAAGAAGCTGAAGGAGGACCAACCATTGACCCTCATCCCATTGCTTGGTGCAACATTTTTCGGGAGGGAAGTTGGTGTCATTTGCATCATGTTTTTTGCAACTCACAAAAAGTGAAGGTGCACTTTTTGCAACTTAACATGTAGGTGGTAAACTATGAGAAACTATGACCCGATGATACATGATAACATATGATAATAATTTGTTCATATCTTTTCCCAAGAGGACATGGGAGAGCTCAGTTTTAGTCTCAACTGGGATAACTTGGGATTTCAGGTTTGAAATTGGATGGTACATACTTCCCTCGCAAACTAGTCTGGAAGTTGTTTTAGTATGGAAAACATGTGGTTTCCCAGAAGGTAACGATCAACATCACGCAGGACTGACTATTCGATCAACTGAACTTGGGGTTTCTCAGCCATCTAAAATTGGCATTTCAGAATTTCACCCAGATTGGAGGGGGTATATCCTGTAGATAAAAGATGATAAAAGATCAAAATCATCCATCAGCGGATCTGTTTCCTACCCATACTTTCCTTCACTCCTTCACCTGCCCGCAAATTAACATCAATATGGACAAATCCATGAAAATTCACCATTTGATCATGAAGACCCTTGGGTTTCCCCTTGGCTTTTCCATATCGTTTTGATTCTTTTTGTATGCCCTCCGGTAATCAGCTCCGGTAATGCGTGGAACATTTTCAAAATTTACGGTTGAGTTTTTCCCATTGATTGATTGAATTGTTCACTGCAACCCGGTGCGCAAGCGCACCGTGAATGAACAGTAGCGCGCGAAGGCTCAAGCGATCCAGGACCAGTGGGATGTTCTCCCATGATGTTCCCATGATTTTTCCCATTCAACAGCTCCATTGATGCTGGGGATTTCCAAATGGCCATGGCCATGATTTTCGCTCCAGGACTCCCATGCATTGCTGGCCTCCTCTTTCAGCGAGTGGCGAAGAGAGGGGAAGATCCTGCGGCGCGAGGGCCCATTGAAATCGGGATTATAAAATCGGGATTTCTAATGGGGATTTTGGCCATGAATTTCATGGGAATTTTGGCCATCAATAATGGGGATTTCAGGGGATTTGGGGATTTTTCATGACCAAACATGATAGTCATTGGATTGGTTTCAGGGACAATCTTCAACGGAAAGCCTTGTAATTGATGGTATTGATGCTCTTGTTTCCGGTTTCGATTTCCCCTTCGACCAATCCAGTGACAATAGGGAAATCATCCTACCAAACTGATGTTTTCCATACTTGGTGGCTCATTCCGCTTACTAAGTAGCTCGCCCCTGGTTTTTTCCGTGGAATAACTATGCTTCATCCACTTAGAACTGGTGTTATGACCTACTTACTAAGTCACTTAAAGTGGCCATGTGATACCTTTGGTTTCAACGTCCAAAGGCCATCATCCTCTCCTCCAAGGATTTGCCACCATCATTTAGTGGTGGATCCATGGCGGAGGTACATGGAGATACCAGCAACACAGGGAGATTACTAGTACCAACAGTGGGTAGATTACCCAACAGAAAACTGCCAAAGTTGGCAACTTCACCAGCAGTTGAGGATTTGGCATATTGATCTGTCCTCTTCAGGGCGTGAGCCAAGGCATGAAGATGCCATGAACACCCTGGAAGAGCGAGACGTTGGGCTTCTCAGTTCGGGGGAAGAACTTGAAGTTGGGATACCTGGACGTGGGAAGTCACCGATGGATTAGGGTGGCAAGCTTTGCTTCAACAGGCTACCTCTGAAACTGGCCATGGATTTTTTGCCTTTTTGTTCGATCATTGTCCCAGCGAACTAAACCTCCATTTGCCATGGTGTCTTCCCATGTTTTCCCATAGATTCCTATGATTTTCCCAGCTACAATAATAAACCTCCATTTTGTTTGGGCATTTCCAGTTTTTCTGGATTTCTCAACTTCCAGGTCTATATCGCCCAGTTGAAGGCTGGCTTTGAGGCTGGGAAGCGCCGATTTTTGGGATGCCATGATGGACTGGTATGTTTGCGTAATATTACGGCCAGGCGCTGCGTGTTGCCCGGAAAGTTCACATGGCGTTTAGGCATTATCCTTCAACATGCTCAAACACCTCCGCAGGGCCAGTGTTTTGAGATTTCCCAGACGACGAGCCCTAAACCCTAAATCCTAAACCCAAAAACCTAAAACCTTAAACCCTAAACCCTGAAAACTTTGAATCCTAAACCAGAAAACTCTGTGTATATGTAGTATTTTCTGCAATCTCTCCTATCTTATTCAACAACACGACATCCTCAATGTTAATGTCTGGGCAACACGCGGCGTTTGTGGGTATTATTACGCATGATCACGTGTGATACAGCCTGAATTCCTGTCTGTTGACCATATTCCTCGATACAGTTGCAATGTGAATCTTACATCCAGAATTGGGAGTAAAACCTTCAACGGATGTTTGTGGACAGATGGAGGCAAATTTCAGCCGTTGGGTGTTGGAATCTCCAGCGGCCATGTGGCAGCCGGTGCACGGCCATGTAGGAGCAGTTGGCGCTTGCCTACCAGCAGATCGATCAGATCACCGAAACCTTGCAGAAGGAGGGGAGAAACATGCGGGAGGAAGGTTGGGAGGGAATACCTCAAACTGATAAACCGTGTTTAACCATCAAAAGTTGGGGTATTTCCAGTGAAATCCTCAGTTCTTTTTCACTAATGTGTAAACAGATACTGTAGTATTTTTGGAGTCAATGGGGGGTGAACATTCAGCATACATTCAGCATACATTCAGCATACATTCAGCTACTTGTATAGCCAAACTCTTATCGAAGGAAGTTTAGAAGTCAAACTTCCGACAATATGGACAGATGGAAAAGCAGAGGTGAGATCAGAGAAGAGAAAGAGTGAGAAGAAAGAAGATGCAGGCGCGCGAAAAGGTAGCAAAGCCGCGAAACACTGTGTTTTTCCAATGATTTGTGGCTCCGGAGGGTCGAAAAGTAGGCTCGCCAAAGCGGCGGGTGTGGAGCCACGTGGCCAGATGAGAGATGAAAAATTGCACGCCGTTGTGGCGCGAAGCCCAAGTCAAAATGTACAAAACACCTCATGTTTGGACGGCTTTTGGAAGTTGAGATGTCGAAAAAGTGCACACCGTTGTGGTGCGAAGCACCTTTCCAAGTCAAAATGTACAAAGCACACCAGGGTCGGGGCACTTTTGGAAGTTGTGACGTCGAAAAAGTGCACGCCGTTGTGGCGCGAAGCCCAAGTCAAAATGTCCAAAGCACACCAGGGTCGGAGCACTTTTGGAAGTTGAGATGTCGAAAAAGTGCACGCCGTTGTGGCGCGAAGCACATGTGGAAGTCAAAATGCACAAGACACCTCATGTTTGGACGACTTTTGGAAGTTGTGATGTCGAAAAAGTGCACGCCGTTGTGGCGCGAAGCACATGTGGAAGTCAAAATGTACAAAACACCGCATGTTTGGACGACTTTTGGAAGTTGAGATGTCGAAAAAGTGCACGCTGTTGTGGCGCGAAGCACATTTCGAAGTCAAAAGTGTTAAAATCTGACGGGTTCGGAGCACTTTTGGACGTTCAGATGTGGTTTTGCGTGGCCGTCGCAAGGGATTGTGCACCTGGTCAAAAATGAGCAAAACGTGGGGTTTTCTAGCATTTCCAAAAACGATGGCAGGCGTGGGACGTTTGAAGAGGATCTGGAAAGATGCATTTTCCGTGGCACGTGCAGTGCAAGAGACATGTTCATCAGAGATGTTAGGAGGTCAGGGCGCCGATTTCCTGAGAGGGGTTGCATTTTGGAGCATCAGATTTTCGGGAAGATGATTTTGTGTGACAGGTGCAACACTTTGTATGACCTGGCATCACTTCGTCGTGGCAGGCGCAATACTTCAGAGACATGGGCTGGAAAAATGCAAAACGCATTGGTACGAGGCCGTCAGCTCTGCATTCAACTTTCCATTATTGAAGGAAGTCTCGCAGAATTGCTTCGTTTTTGATGTTGCCAACTTTGGGGGAAGTCTCGCAGAATAGCTTCGCTTTCAAGCTTGCAGATTGCAGATAGAAAGATGGATAGATAGACAACTACAACTACAACTACCACTACACTACACTACTACAACTACAAATGCAAATAAACTACGCTACATTACACTACACTAATTACACTACACTACGCTAATTGCATCCAATTACACTACACTACACTAATTACACTACAGCTACAACAAGTATTACTACCACAGCTACAAGCACAATATCAACCACACCACATTACACTACACGGCACTAACTACACTGCAGTACGCTACTACTACAACTACAAATGCAAATGCAACTACAACCACAACTACACTACGCTACACAACACAACACTACACTAATGACATGAAATTACGCTACAACTACAACTACAACTGCAGCTGCAACTACACTTGTAACTACCACTACATTGCACTACACGACGCTACACTAATTGCACTACACCACGCTACAACTACATCTACACTACCGTACACTACACTACACTAGAGTACACAACACTACAGTACACTACAATACGCTACACTAAGAACACCACGCCACAACTACGACTACAAGTGCAACTACATTACACATACTACACATTACAAATACAACTCCAACACACCACACTACAACTACAACTACAACTGCGCTACACCACACTACATTCAGCAGTTGTTGGTGAGGTGACCACTGCAATAGGTTGCCTATCTTTGAAACTTCCGCCACCGCCTTGTGTGGTACTACCGGTATGAGCACCAGTTTCAGTTTTGATTGACAGATGCACTTAATATTTTAACATATCAGAGTGGAACCCCAAAACTTGTCCACTTTTCCTCTGTCTCAGCTGGTAAGTTTCCTGGGAAGACTGTGGGACAGGGGACCCTTTTTTCACCAGGAGCTTCAAACCAAAGAAGAGCTGGCGCATGAGCTCCGGGAAGCGTACGCCGATGGAACTTGGGTTCACTGGAACTGGGCGCACTCGAAGGTCCTGGAGGATGTGAAGGATAGCGTTTGTGAAAGTTAGTTGGCATCTGAAATCTTTGAAAAAAACATGGTAAGTAGCAGCCACGGGACATGCGTGGGAAATTGTGGATGGAACTGACAAAGTTGGGGATGAAATCGATTCCGAATTTCAGTATGACCGTCAGTGTTGGAACTACCAACAAACGGATGACGCTGACAACAAAACTCACGTCACGTGATGTGGTGCTAGCATTGCAGGTACGAAAAAAATCGCAAAATGGCTCGGGGTCCCATGAACAGCCCAAGATTGCCTGGGGGCGGAGAATCCACGAAGTATCCCATTTGGGTTTGTGTGAAAATGGGGACTTACCTCCAATTTATGGTCATTTGTCCAGGGAAAGTGATGATTCACCAGCAGATTTGAGGTTTGCTTCCCCCAAATTTTTCAGACAACCCAACCTCCACTAAAAAAGGCCCAGGCACCTCTGAGAAGCTGATTAATCGTAATTTATCCTACACCAAATGATGGTTTCTTCCTTGGATCTTCCCCTTTGTTGTCGATAAATCATCCAAATCCATGACCTTTATCCCCATAATATATCTTTTAATATAGTCAATATATAATATATATAGTTAATATGATCATAATAGTTGCTGCAATTTATTCCCCCAAAATCCAAAGAATATCTCTACCATATCCCCACAACACATGGGGATCACCCTCCGCGCCTCAGAATCTGCCGGACTATCCCGTGACGCCTGGCTCGGCGACGCCCGGCGCGGGGGCTCGGGGTGAGGTTTCTGGCGTTTCTGGGGCGGGAGGGGTGCAGATTTTAGGATCAAACTATGGAACAATAACAAAAATGATCATGAGATAATAGTGTAGTGATAATAATGATAATGGCAATAGTCATCACAATGCGGATGATGATAGTTGATAATGATGATCTTATAAGCTATTCAGCTGGTGTTTAGCTCATTATCAGCAGAACACAATTAATTTGGGGTGGTCGTAGCATAACATGTCACAGACGCACCCAGCCAGATCATCCGTTTGTGGGATACATACAGATTGAATTATACTCGACATTTACATACTCCCAAAGCCATCCATCCATTCATGTATAGTAACCCCCAAAAAGATACAGAACAGGTTGAATTTACCACAAGAAACTTATATGGTAGGATTTTTTTCTAGATTTTGTTAAAATCATCCATGACTTACCACATTAACCATGGCATTCACCATCTACCAGCCATGGCCGTGACCGCAGGCTCCACGCGGCGCCGACAAACCTCCACCGAACGCCGTGGTGCCGGGGAGGGGGATGGAGGAAGCACCAGTTTCATACCATCCTTCCATAAGTTTCCTACATTTGATGATATGTGATGTAAATATTGGATGATATTTGGTCTCGACGTTAAACAGACTCGTTTTTTTCAACAGGCTCCACGCCATGCCTTGCTTGACATGCCTTTACCATATATGTATAATATATATATATATTATAGAATATATATATATATATATATATATTATAGAATATATATATATATTCAATGACCATCCATATATATCTAATATTCAATTACCATACATACACATATATATATATACATACATATTCAATGACCATATATATATATAATATATTCAATGACCATATATATATATATATATATTTGAATATATATATATTCATTCAATATATGCCTTTACCATATTACCTTGACATGCCTTTATATATGAACTGAACCTTCAGCACTCGGGGGTTCTCCCATCTGGATGATCAAATTGCTGTTCCATTTCGTGCCATGGCCAGGTACCAGTGTCGGAAGCAATGTGAGCAGACCGGCCGGGGAGCCGAGCAACATCTTTCCGTTTGGACATCTTGGGATTCAACTTGATTTAACCAACTGACCTCCAACAAGGTGTGGTAAACACGGTAAAGACGACATCATGACCACAATTTGGGCTTGAGGCAAAAGTGATGCGGATGAGCATGAAGAACTTCAAACGGGGATATGATCAACCAAAAGATGACCCTGGTGACTGTAAATGGGGTACCTGGTACCGATAGACTCACTACATCGGTTATTTCCACAGTCTCACTGACTCCATCCTTTTTTAATCTGGGGTTTTTAAGCACCATCTGTGCGACCTTGCTCAAAGTTGTGCAGCCTTGGAATTCTCAGGCTGTTTTTGGGGTTTTAGGGTGACAAAACCACACCACGCTTTCCAACGGATTTGAGGGGCATTGTAGGAAAATTGGGTTTACGGAGAGATGCCCATAGGATGATCCAGGTGCCATGAGTTTAAGCTATTGTCCATCATAGGCCATCATAGGCCATCGCGAGTAGTACACATACTGTAATCAGCATGATCCTTGTACTCAAGTGGGGATGACAAGCGCAATGATCATCATCAGCATTTGGGCTATCATTTTGGGGGTTAGCCGTTGGCCCCTGGCTTGCCAGGAAGTAGGTTTATAGGGCATGATTTCCCCTTGAGAAATTGGGGGCCTCATCACATTTTGGCTGGTTAAATGCCCCATTTTCCATTTTAAAATTCATGCTGGTTATATTCCCATTCTGGTTAAATCCTCCAGTTGCTTGGTGAAGATTCAACGCTGTTCTCCCTGTTCTCGCCGCGTTGATGCGCTCCAGGCGCGTCACAGTTTACCAGGGTCATCGCTGACCAAGGCGTGCTTCCGGCGACCAACCAAGGGTTGCTTGCAGGAATATCGTCGATACAACAGGCATAGGATATATATATATAATTATATATATTAATATATTATATGTACAAGCAACCAGGCAACCAGAATTATAATCCTTTCCAATATCACGCTATGGTGAACAGAATAACATGAGTGTTTCCCGTTTCCAGAATCATAGGGGTATAGTATTTGATATGATATTGGAAGGACAATGGTGTGTTTTTCCTTCCCATATCAGGACAGTTTCAATTTCAAGATTTTCAAGTGATGTCAATCTCCCTTTTTTTGTGGTCTCTTTTTTTTTGTCATTAAACATTAAACCTCAATTTACGGTGGATAACCCCAACCAGCGTCGCAACATCAGGAAAGAGAGACCTTCTTCGCGGGTGGGCTGGCGCAGGCAGATGGGAAGATGATGGACACATATGAATAAAGAATAACAAACATGTGGTGTCCAATATTAATGAGTATCTGCCCATCGGTTATAATCTAATATGTGGGATGCCCACATATTATATATATATATGTATATCAAGTAGTGAACTCACATAAAGTAAGCCCTACTTGGATATGCATCCCAATGAGTAAGTGCTTCATGACGATAAGCATCTATATTGGGACAGCATATATGATGGGAGGGTGAAGATCTAATATATGGGATTAGTGGAAGACATGGGATTCATGGAAGATGATGGGAAAACGATGCTTTAACTTTGTTCCCCTTTGAATTATCCCATCGTTCATATCAGTTACACCCCTTACTTGGATGCTATGTGTGATTTGCGTCCCATACGACCATGGTGGCTCTCGGATCTCCTGAAGTGTTTTTTTCAGTGGTGCTTCAACACTGGCCCCCCAAAAAGGTGATGTTGACAGTGGTTTCAAAGATGGGTATGGGTCGAAAGCCTGATACACCTGATACATCACAAAAGCCTGACGCCAGGGCCAGGGTGCACAGGTCGATCATCAACAGGAGTTTGTGTCAAGATTCAGGATCAGAAGAATATATGCAATCCTAGCCCTTTCCTACTTCTAGGCTGCATAACTCCTTTAATTCGAAAGACATCTGCTGATGGGCAGTGGCCTTGATAGCTTTGTTGATTGATTGTTATCAGGGCTTATAATACCAGGTTTATTGTGGATCATGAACTGACTCATTGTATGGGAATCCCTATCCCTTTCAAACGATTCGGAAATCCCCATCTCCGCTCACAGTGAATCCCCACATCCTGGCGAACCCCCAGATATTCCTAGTTGATCTAGTTGAATCCCAAAGTTTCCTAGTTGAATCCGCACATTTTCCGAGTTGAGTCACCAGTATTAACCATCATTAACCAGTATTAACCACTATTAACCATTATTAACCAGTTCATGATGGGTTGAATCCCCAGATCTCCGACCAAATTGACCGGCCTTCCGCTGGAGACCTCCGACCTCTCGCAGGTCTCCGAACCCTTGGCCTTTCAACGCCCAGCCACAACAGGCGACCCAAGGGGAACGACTGGTCGGTGGAAAGGAAAGGTTGATGAAATTGGTGAATATAACTGATGATTGATGATGATTTGGTAAATATATACTGTAACTGATGATTGATGATGATTGTTTGATGATTGATGATGATTGTTTGATGATTGATGATGATTGTTTGATGATTAGTTTAGGGATTATACTAGCCATTTTTTATTGGAGATTATTCCATGAAAGGGGTGGCTCCCGTTCTCAAGGCAACAGTTTTCTTGGTTTCCACCCCGGTGCTTCAAGCACCGACCTTCGACCTTGGCATCCAACCGATGGCCCATTTCCATTGGTTCAACTACCTCAAGACATTCGCCCATAGCTAGACTTCTTGGTGGTTCAAGTTGCTTTTTCTCGGGGATTATGATTCAGAATGATGCCCACATTTTTCGGCTCAGGTAATTCAAGCAATTTCAAACATGGCCAATGGGAAATTCATCAAACTAAATGGAGGGTTTTCCAGCTAGCCACGTTTGATGACTTTTGGAGCCCGGGGTGGCTCAACCAGCAGAACCAGCAGGTCACCTACAGCCTCCCAACGGGAGGCAGGTTTTGAGGAGTGAGTGTGGAATCAATTAGTCAGGAAATGAATAGATAATAGTATCCCTACTCAATGGGGAGCTAAGGAGCCCATTCACCACAAGAATGACACAGTACGGCCAGTTCGCTCATTGGAGTCTCGGCAATCAACTTGGGGATTTAGCATGAAGAAGCAGCTAAAAATTGATCTCTTCCTCCTCTTGGAAGGCTAAACACCATTTTTTGGTGGCTGAATAGGAGTTAACATTTCAAAACGCAATATTTATTATGTTTGTTTATGGAGGACATTTGCAATCACAGGGTTGCTCCCACCCATTTTATACGGGTAATTTGCAGCCACAAGCGGGGAACAGGTTTCCAATTTTACCTCTAGCAATCTAGCCATCTCTAATGTACTTGGGTGTTGGGAGCAACCTGAATCAGTTTTCACTTTTCAACGTCCAATTTTGGGGGCACCCAGCTACGGTTTTTGTCCCGTCAAACAGTGCCGCACCGCCTGAACAGTGCGTCTCGATCGACCTCGCCTCGTAGGGAGCCTTAATGGCTTCTCTCAACAGGAGACAGCTCCAATCACTGCAGGGTTTTTTTGTGGGTTTCTTCAATGGGGAAGTCAGTAGATGCTCATATGTATATATATAATATAGATGATCAATATTGATGAAACTCCTGCTTGTTGCTTTTCAATCATCATTTGCAGTTTTCCTTCCTCTATTTGGGATGAGAATCCGCAGTTTTGTTTGGAGAATGGGTGGCTCCATCGCCAAAGAATCGACTTTGTTTGGCTAGGGCACTGCATCCTGGGTAATCCCTAGGAGCATGACATCCAGGTCCATTTTGATCGGTGAAGGCAGCTTGAAACAACTGGAGTGAAATCCACTTCTACGCAGAGTATATATATATATAATATAATCCATTCCTTGAGATTTTGGATCAACCATTGCTCGGTTTGCTCCGTAGATTTGTGATTCCTTTGATCGCGTCACAAAGGCCTTGACGTCAACTGGGATTCCGTGGTTCGGGGCCCCAGGGTAGTGCTGGGGATGCTTGGTGGGAGATTTTGGTAGCCATGAATGGATTCAACAAGAAAAACACAACGATAGAAGTTGGGAAAATCCTACGAAAATAGTGATAACTTACCGTTCTATCTTTTTTGGCAGTCTATATTAAAGAAAACACGTTTTCGAAGGGACAATTTGGGTGGAAATAGTGCATGTCAACACAGGGTTCCCAATCTCGGGGAAGGTTCAGCCGGAACTCGTATGATACTTCTGTAAATGAAGATGGCGCCGTCAATGAAAAAACATGTATCCAGACTGACAAGTAGCTGAATTTACCAGGAATGTTTACTGAGTTACTGCACAGACTCACATCTCTTCTGGTGATCTTCCAATGAATCCCCCATACAGTTCTAGAGTATGGCATAGAAATATCTGTGACTCTTCCAATTTGATCACCTTTGCAGATTGGCTCGTGATTTTGGTACCAATCATCCCATCTTGAGTGGAGGGGGACATTTTTTTACCGATACTCCCATGATTGATACTTGCCATTGGGATATGGCTCAAAATTCTGACTTCTGACCACCCCCCCTCCTCAAAAACAAGTCAGTAGTTTTTTTTTTATTCTAGCTAAAAAACATTGGGGGTATAAAGCTAAAAGTATCCAACAGTCACAAACATGTTGGATAGTAATAAAACCAGAAATAAGCATTTCAGTTATTTCAGTTGGTGATTTATAGCTATATTTGATCAACATCTTTGTTGTTTCCTGAGTTTCAGCACCATCGACTGCCACCGATGAGGTTGACCGTTTGGAAAACCGCGGAGTTGTGTCAGGCGTGGAATGGCCCCTGGGAATGTCGTCAATCTCTATGCACTTTGTTATATCGTATAGGAATATGATACTGCATAATTGTATAATCATTATGTTCTGTATCTTTCTACGTACATGTTGCGTGTATACTTATAGGTGATTTGTTTTTGCATATATACATATATAAACATATATATATATACATATAAACAAATATATATATATATATACATATATATATATATACATATATTTACATATATATACATATATTTACATATATAAACATATATAAGCATACAAACATACATACATGCATGCATGCATGCATACATACATACATTGCATTACATTACATTACATTTACATTTACATTTACATTTACATTTACATTACATTATATTACATTACATACATACATTCATACATATATTCATTACATACATACATACATGTATTCATACATACATTCATACATATATTCATTACATACATACATACAAACATGCATACATACATACATACAAACATGCATTCATACATACATGCATACATACAAACATGCAAACATGCAAACATGCATACATACATACATGCATACATGCATACATGCGTACATGCGTACATGCGTACATGCGTACATGCGTACATGCGTACATGCGTACATGCGTACATGCGTACATGCGTACATGCATACATGCATACATGCATACATGCATACATGCATACATGCATACATGCATACATGCATACATGCATACATGCATACATGCATACATGCATAAATGCATACATGCATACATGCATACATGCATACATGCATACATGCATACATGCATACATGCATACATGCATACATGCATACATGCATACATGCATACATGCATACATGCATACATGCATACATGCATACATGCATGCATGCATACATGCATGCATGCATGCATGCATACATCCATCCATCCATCCATACATACATACATACATACATACATACATACTGTACATACTGTACATACATACTGTACATACATACTGTACATACATACATGCACATACATGCACAGACATACACAGACATACACACACATACACAGACATACGCAGACATACACAGACATACACAGACATACACAGACATACGCAGACATACACAGACATACATACATACACAGATACATGCATACATACATGCATACATACATGCATACATACATGCATAAATACATACAGACAGACAGACAGACATACATACAGTAACATACATACAGTAGCATTCAAACAGTAGCATACATATAGTAGCATACATACAGTAACATGCATACAGTAACATACATACAGTAGCATACATACAGTAACATACATATAGTAACATACATACAGTAACATACATACAGTAACATGCATACATACATGCATGCATGCATGCATGCATACATACATACAGTAGCATACATACAGTAGCATACGTACAGTAACATACATACAGTAACATACATACAGTAACATACATACAGTAACATACATACAGTAACATACATACAGTAACATACATAGAGTAACATACATACAGTAACATACATACAGTAACATACATAGAGTAACATACATAGAGTAACATACATACAGCAACATACATACAGTAACATACATACAGTAACATACAGTAACATGCAGTAACATGCTGTAACATGCAGTGACATCCAGTAGCACACAGTAACATACAGCAACATACAGCAACATACAGTAACATACAGTAACATACAGTAACTACAGTAACATACAGTAACATACAATAACATACAGCAACATACATGCATATATATATATATACATGTAAATATATATATATATGTATTATCTGATTATCTATCCAGATGTATCTATGCTATCGCGTGCAATAAAACTTGGCGCATGCATTCTTCAAACGTTTACTGGCATGGTAAACGCAACGTGATCAACCAAGAAATGTACCCCCAGTTGTGAGTGTGTCTGAAAATGGGATATACTCCCCCAGATGGCTATAAAAAATGGGGAAAATTATGATTAACCCTGGGATTCCGGGATACCATTTTTTCACCCATTCCATCCACTGGCCCATTATTTTCCCTAACGGATGGCCATATATTGGCGCTAAAAAAAACTGTTTGAGGTGTTTTGAGGTACTATCCTTGGGGCTTGCTCCATAAAAACATACCAATCTTTTGTTGTTTCAGCAGCCCTATTTCTGCATTCAGCCATATTTGTTGGTGATATACCTCCATTACAATATCCCCATTAGCATTTTCCCACAAAATATCACAGTAGTCTACGGGGATATTTAATGGTAAGCTTTCATGGGAATATATTATATTCCCATGAAAGCTTACCATTAAATATCCCCGTAGACTATTAACAATCCCTAGAATCGAACGTATCCCCATTGTATTCCCATCTATTATAATCAGTTAACTCCAGGTTTTGCTTGTTGATGATCCAGACACACTGCTAGGGCGTCGTCTCATTTGAGCCTCCTGTCGAACGACAGCGAGGCTCCTGTCAGGGGGAATCTCACTTTCTGGAGGGCTGGGACTGCCAAAAGATCCCTGGATGATTGAGGATACCCTCTGGTAAACATTAAAAAACTATGGAAAGATCCACCATTTTACAGCTGGGTAAATCCACTATTTCGACTGGGCCATTTTCAATAGCTATGTTAAATTACCAGAGGATATTTGATGTTTGTTGATGAAGATGAAGGTAAAACGATGAAGATGATGAGGACGAAGACAAGGATGAGGATCAGGATGAGGATGATGATGATGATGATGATGGTGGTGATGATGGTGGTGATGATGATGATGGTGATGTTGTTGTTGGTGGTGGTGGTGATGAGTCACCATCAACACATTCCGATCAACGCCTGCGAGGAACATGATCGGATTTTTGCGCGGTTTCCCACGGAAAGAGAGCCGCGGGAGATGTGCACCAGAAT